AATTATACAATTTTCAGTAAAATGAAGTTCTTGAATATATATATATATATATTCATCGTTTCGACGTTTCGGCACCTGTTTTGGAGCCGTTTGCAAGAATCACTTAGATTTGTACTTACATGACTCGAGGACGAGGTCGTAATTTCCCTTGTCCCCAAGTCTCGTTACTTGCTCTATGTTTACTGTGTTCCCCTCCACAGTGCGAACTTAGAGCGCTTTACCTCATATGTGAATTTTGCATTGCCATTATTTGTAAAACAAATTCTTGCCCAAAACTGCCGGTATTCTTTCTGATATGGTTAGTGGCAATAGTTCTTATTCATTTATATTATTTGATTGTCGTTATTTCATTGAAAAACAATGTTGAAGGTTTCTAACATCTCTGAATACTCAATTTTGTTCCCAATATTGAAACTATTTGATTTGTATTTGTGAAAAAAATTATATGTATTCAGTGACATACTCCTAGTGAAATTGTCTGATAGTTCTATTAACATTTTATAGTTCAGACAATAAAAATTACTTGTTTGGATCACTGAAAATTGCTATATGTTATTTTACGGTATCGATAGGTTTCAAAATTAACTCTATTATAATTTTCAAAGCAAATGACGCAACTTCATCCAACTGATCATCTGCAAGCAGAGGAAAGTTTAGTATGTATAATGTATTGATATCTGTCTGTTCAATCCGTTAATCAGCTGTCGCTCCCATACGAACGACAACTCTCAAAAGTTGAGAACTTGTGCGAGCTAAGGACTAACGAGGTCTTACCTTTCAACGTGTGATACCTAACACGGTTGCAGAATCATTCCAGCTTCAACCAGATAAATTCTCTCGAGAAAAATATCTGGTCCAGGCGGGAATCGAACCCACGATCTTCCGATCGTGAGTCGGGCGCTCTACCAACGCGGCCAATTCCACAACATATACAACCACCATCATAAATGTGGCAGAATGTTTCTATACTAGAATTTTTAGAGAAGTTTTTGTTTTCATATACAGTTAATAACATCAGAAAACCTCCAATTCCAGTTACATTTCTTCGAGAGGGTTCTGACTGAATGGTTTCTTTGGAAATTGAAACTGTTAGATTTGCAAAAATTCACTGATTATCAATACAAATCAATTTGACAGTTCACATTCCAAATCATACATTTCTGTCTTACCATTTGTAATGCAGTGAGGTATCTTTTCCACCAGAGATATTTCTGCATATGAGGTCCCATGGCGCTCAACATATAATAAGTGTACATTATTATATGAACGAAACTATTGATGAATCCAAAGAATGTGCTGTGACCACCTATAAAAGTTAATAATTATTCAGTAAAAGGAAAGTTAATGAAAATTTCAACGCCACGGTAAATAATAATAATCATTGCCTTTTATCCGCACATGATTTGTATTTGACAACCACACACGTGCTCTGGAGTATTTGAAATGAAATTATAAACGAGCGTATATTGAAAATCAACTTATACCTAGTCGTGTTGTCGGTGATATTTCGAACTTGAAAAACCGTGGTAGTCAGTCATAAATGTTAGAAGACTATTTTCCAAAAAAAAACATTTCTTGAAAACTCGTTCCTTGTTGTGCTACATTAGATAGAAAATAAATGATGGTTGACGAATTGTGAATTTTGTACTTCATATTTGATAGAAGAACATAATATAACATAAGAAAAAAAGGAATGGTTGACTGAAAAGTAATTCCTCCAAGCTTTATATCATTGCAAAATATACAAAGGATTTTTCCAACGGGAGTTGAGTGGGACAACTTTTTATGAAAAAAAAATCAAACCTACCTGGAGTATACTTGACACCAAACCATACGGACATTGGCATGACCCCATGGTGGATCACATGTAAGGTTGATATCTGATCATTCTTCTTCCTCAATAAGAAAAATATCTGAAATTATACAATTTTCAGTAAAATGAAGTTCTTGAATTGTTTCATTTCATGTTTTTGACTCTCTACTTCTTTATCTTTAAACACAAAATGTGGAACACATTTTTTCATTGATTGCTTCCTTCCTAACAAATAAAGGAAACAATCAGTTTAGAAAAATTAACTCTATACAAATATGTGAAAATCATGCAGAGAAATAACTTTCAGACACAAACTGGAAAAGAAGCCTTCTCCAAACAGCTACTTCCATACAGACATTGGATAATACGAAATAAAAATACTTTCACAACGAATAATTTGAATTATACGCTAGAAGAGTCAATAAGGCAAGTGTCAAGTCAAAACATCGGATGTCCACCAGTGAAAATGTCAGTGTCCCATGCAAATGGAATTTAATCTCTTTCATTTACTATATTGTTTATCTAGTTGTGTAGTGATATCTGACTCAATTCAATAGCGAATATTTGGAATACAAACTGAATAGAGAAAAGTGATTTTTGTATAAATCAGTATTCATATGAAAGTGTTTCGAAAGTATTTTTGTTTCGTGTAATTCATGTTTATATACTTTTCTTCCAGTTTGTGACTGAAAGTTACTTCTTTGCATTATCTACACATCTATGTGAAGACTTACTCTTTTTAAATTGATTGCTTCCTTCTTTTCTTTGGAAGATTCCCACTTTTTTTGTATAGAGATGGAGGACTAGAAAACCAAAACATTTTTTCCCAAAAAGTATCCTCTCCTTGAAACATACCCTTTTCAATTTGAACAAGTTTTACATTTTATCTTTCATTACCATATTTTACCCATTCTCAAGAATTGAGTAAGTACATTTTTTCAGTAGTGTTACACATTTTTCGAAGAAATTGATGCAAAACAACTTTGTATCTTACATCGATTCATTACCACATCGAAACTTTACTGAAAATTTTTCAAGAATACACGATAGCCCTGAAGTATTTTTCTATTGGAAAAATGTGAATATCCAACTGATGCCAACTAACGTTGGATTTGATTCTGATTCGAGTAAAACTTTTTTTCGGTTAATCTTAAATTCATCTTGAAAAGTCATCACTAGAATCAGAACTGAAAATGTAATTAATAAAAATAGTTTTTCGTGAGTTTGGACTCTCTTTCAACTTCTCCAAATACAATTTATATCCATGATAATAACTGGAAAATGTTCACAAACATTTTTCATTTCTAGACGCGGTTCACTACCGAGAAAGCTACGGTGTTTGTGAATTATTATCATTGTTAAATTATTAATAATAACTTACTGTGTCCAGGAATTCCGTGAATTTAGAAAAAAAATACCACCAAGATGCATGCACCATCTGAAATTGGAAAATATATTGAGAAATCATTAGGTGAACCCACCTTAACTTCGGTTGACGAATACTGAATATAATGATTTTGCCAAATAATTCTCATTTCATGTCACAACAATTTTATTCTTCACAAAATACATATTCATTACTTTGGTACCTTTAGTGTAGTAATGAATATTACTGGAGTTTTTGCCAAACCGTTATTTTAACTCCTCGACACGTGTTTCGATCACCAAGTGATCATCTCCAAGAGGAGATCATGCTTATAAAGCTATCCTTATTTATATCATAGATACCTGTTCTAGGTACCTGCGTCTTAAATCAATTTTACAATGTGTCCTTATATATAATAGTCAGGTGAATCTAATGAATAAAATATCATTTTAACGAGGTATATAGTATTCTATTAGGTATACCTAATAGAATACTAGGCCGATTCTACCAAACGTTTCAGTCTTGCCGTTGAGGCCATCAAATCCTTTTCTCTGGTCGCAGAGCGACAAACCGTGAGCACGGTTAGCTTTCTCAGGAGACGTCTTGATTGAGAATTCGAAATGTCTCAAAAGACTCTCCGTGAGACAGTAATTCTTGTCTAAACCGTATTATGGAATTTGAAACTCCAGAGACAATTTGATGAAAACGTAGTAAATCAATTATTGGACTTAGGACTGGAAAATCAACAATCAACTACGAATATGGAAATTCAACAATTAGAATTGGAACTGGAAAATCCACAATTGGACTTCTAAAGACAGCAACGAGAATTAGATTTGCAGAAACAGTAAAACAAGTTGGATTTAAAACGACAACTACGATTAGAAATGGAAATTCTACGAAAAGAATGCCAAGAGACGTCTCAGCATTTATATCACACACTACTCAGAGAAAAAGTCAAACCTAAGTCGTATTTTGAACCAAAAATGCTACTTGCAGAATTATTGGATTTAAAAACGTAAATGTCAATGCCAAGATCGGACACATGACGGCAAAACCCCGCCCGAACAATTGTACGGAATAATCGACAAATTTTTGCCCTCAGCTGTAACAGGTATACCTTCGAACACGACAATTTTGTCTGAAAGACAATCGCTAAGAAATAACGCGAAAAAAGTGTTGTCTAACTATGTACAACCGTCATGTACAAATAGAGACTGCAGAATTAACGAGGCCGATATAAAACCCGACAAAGAGTCGGAACAACCGTGAATTGTAATATAGAACTGGAGAGATGAAAACCCCATATTTTATCGACAATGTATAGGTTAATAAATAACGATGAGATTGGAACCTTTGGTGTGAAAGTTGAATAACTTTTTTCGAGATCAATTGCCCTAACACCAAACTGATATTTTTGCACTCGACGCGCGTTTCGCCAACAAAGTTGGCATCTTCAGGAGAAGAAAATTAATAGTTTGTCCAACTTCAGGCGTCGCGATGCCCCCAAACCTCTAGAGCTTCTTGAGAAAAAGACGCACAGGCGCGGCACTTGTCTGGAATGTGACCAAAACTGGCGCCCTAGTGGATATTGAACTAGAGGGTGATGGTGAGCTGCGGGGTTACCATGAATTCTGTGAAGACTTGGGGATGACTTCATGGCGGGCCAGTATCCAATTCAGACCAATGAAGTGAACAACAAGAATCCAGAGATAGTTGATCCAATTATCAAACCTACCGCTGTACTCAGACCAAGAGAGGGTCCCGAAATCCCGTGGGCTCAGGTCTGGGAAGGCAGGAGGCCTTTACAGCGTGAAGGGAAGGTACTTGGCAAGAACGGAGTTGCGAAACACGCGTCTGCCTACAACCCCGACCCTTATATAGGATAGATGGTTCACGCTTTGCGCTGCGACGATGGCTTACGCGTCGGTGTGATGATCGCTAGAGATCTGTTGCGTAGTCGGTTGAAAAACTAATTATTGAGAATGAGGCGCATGGAATATTGCTGGTTTAAAAAAGAGTATGGGGGAAGAGGCGCGCGATGGGCGAGAAAATATGAAATGAAAAACATAAATATATTTTTTTGAAAATACATAGACGAAGAAAAAAAACATGGTTTTACGTTCCATCGTGCGATCCCAATGAGAAAACGTATACAGGGTGGAGAATCGTTTAGTTGAAAAATTCTATAGTAACGGGAAGCAGCGTTTAAACGTGAGCTCTCGATGCGGAACGTATACAGGGTACAGTTAAAAACAATGCAGCGATGCAATGCAATAATTTGAATATACAAAGGATGCTGAAATAGAAAAAAGATAAAAACAGTGTTTCAAAATACGTCTCGTCCGTCTGACCGATTAATTTCGTTTCTTCGTTTATCGTTTCCGTGTCTGAAGGTCATAGGAGACTGACTTAGTTATTATTGAAGATACAAGGGCGTGCGCGTACTCTAACCTCATAATTTATGCTGAGAACACCGAAATGAAAACCATAGATGTGCAGCATGCATTATGTTCATTTTGGTCTACAAGCTCATAATTTTCACTAGAGAACACGAAAATGGGAAATATAGGTGTGTAGCATACATTTGTCAACGAAAAAAGAAGCGCCGCTCTCCCCCTTATCATTTTTCAAATGACTTTCGACGAGTATAGACAGCTTGTAGAAGATTTCGGTAGACGGGTGCGACCACTCTCCAAAGATGATTAAATCTTATTAGTCCAATAAAATGAGGATTTAAATTACCATGCAAAAGGCAAGCCTGCATTTTTCAATATAAGTTGATTTTAGCATACATTCAAAGGATTTATTGTTAAAAAATGTTGAATTTCATTTAGGGGATAGAAAATGAAT